TTCAGGGGTTTAGGGGTTTAGGGCTAAGAGTTTAGGGGTTTAGGGTTTAGGGGTTCAGGGGTTGAGGGTTTAGGGGTTTAGGGTGTTTAGGGTCTATGGGTCCATGATTTTGGGATTCGGGTCACAGTCCGCCTTGTAGAATATGTGAGATACAGGGGGTCTGTTATCGGCTACTCGGTTTAACTTGATGAATTAAGTTACTTTATTCTGGAAACCTTATTTCTTAATTACAAGCGATCTTATGGTAATTTAACTTAAAGTTCCGTAGCAGCGGCCCAGTTGAGTCTTCCGCTATATCACATGATGGTAGCCGTGTAATGTTTCGAAAGGATGTGAGCCCAACCCCTGAACTCTTTACCTGCAGCTTCAAACTCCAAGCTAAAAGCGCAATGCCTCGAGACCCTAAACCCTAAACCCTAATCCCTAAATCCGCAGCCGCAGGGACAAGGGATCACAGTCATGAATCTCCCAGCAGGAACGGGAGTCTGTGAGATGGATGTCATTGCTTGCCTACTGGATAGGGCTAGAAGCAAGTACCATAGCATTAGGCACATGCTGACGGCCAATTCCCCCCTCAAACCTCGTTTGCTACTTCTCGAGAAGGTCGTCATGGGGTGTATGCGAGGGATAGTGGGAGCCGTCTTTCCGACCACCAAGATCCAACAGCAGATGAATGCTGCGCAAATCCAATGCCTCAAAGAGATGTTACACATACACAGACGACCGGATGAACTGTGGGTAGACTTTGAGGTCAGGGCGTGTAGGGATGCCAGAGCAATCCTGTGGAGGGAACAGGTCCAGAGGTGGGGGGATATCCACCTTCGCCAATTCTGGAGGTATGCGGGTCACAGAGCCCGGGCTTGTGTGGGTGAGCGCAGGACAATTGCAGGGCTGCTGACGGGGTTCAGGGATCTGGGCTGGTGGCAGCGAGAGCAAAACACCAGCATCGGCAGCAGACACAACAGACGGCATTACCCTCACATCATGGCAGTTGAGCGTGCTATCGGGAACACGGTTGGGGGTTTCCGGAGAGGGCCTAGGGATCCAGGCACAGACCTTCGGCACCCAGACCGAGCAGTATGTCAACTCCCAGAATGACGCATTACCCGCAGACCCACAAGCCCCAATCTTGCCTAAGCCACTTCCGCTTGCAGGAGCTCCTTGGTCGACTCACCTGAGGGCTTAGGGATCCAGACAGAGACCTTCGACATTGTTGAAGGTGAGCAGGGAGAGTTCGTTTGTCTGGTGCAAGGGGTGATCTCCAGTAGCTCCAGGGGTTGGGGAAGTGATCCCAGGAGAAGGCATGACCCGCGACGCAAGTGGATGCGAAAGAGACCGTCAAGCCCGATGAGAAATGACAAACTCAAGCATACCCCCTGGAGAAAATCGAAGGGCAAGGGCAAGCGCGGCAAATCCCGCAAGAGCTGGGAAGATGAAGACAGTGTCGTGGAGGTTGAGGAAGAAGCGGCACCGCCAGAGCCGGCAAGTAGCTCCGGCAGAGGTCGTGAACGTCGTCCAGAAGAAGGCCATGGGGGAAGCAGAGCGCCGCAACATCGAGGGAGAGTTGCGCGGAGGATGGAGCTGGATACGGAACTTTGCCAGGTCCTGGCGGCGCATCATGGAGCTCACAGAGGAAGACAGCTGCCTCGATCTGGAAGCAGGGACAGACGCTATCCCACCCCATATCATCGCCAACCTGGTCAACACAAGTGCCATGGCTAGCGCAGAAGAAGTCGCTGAACTCTACCAAGGCCTGCTGCGCTTTGTGGCGGTCATGATTGCACAGATCACCTCAGCGCTACAAGAAGGTGCAAACATAGCCAGGCGACAGCGGGAGGCTGACGAAGGAGCTCTGCTGCAAACCTTCGTTGGCGCAGGTGAATGGCTTGAACCTGGAGAGGCGGTCATCATGATGCAGGAGAATGTGGAGCTGATTGACCCATTCGGCCATGTGCTCTGCACGGTTCAGAGACAGTTAGAGAGAATGACGACGGTGCAAATCAGGGCCCGCCTCGCTTGGATCCGTGACAAGCTGGACCAGTTTGGACAGACAGGGCCTCCTTCGGGTTTGTCGCTCTGGCAAGAAAGAATGATGAGGCTCAGGGCGCTGGTCGTGAGCTACCAGAACGAGCAAGGCAACGAAGCAAGCTCGTCCAGCAGTAGTTGCATGCCTCTTGCAGAAGATGACTGGGCAGCGCACACGTGGCACATGATGAGGCCATTCCTGATGAGCCCTGGCATAGGGGGTGAAGAAACAAGAGCTGTCGTTGAAGTGGAAGACAGCTATGAGGGCATCCAAGTTCAGGAGGCTGATGGTCTGGTCAGGCCTGCAACAGGCCAGGAAATCCGAGAACTACAAGAACGAGATCGGGACCTGGCCAGGGTTGCCAGGGAAGAAGCGGCAGCAGACGAAGACAGGTGGGAGCGCATGGAAGCAGCCAGGTACCAAGCCTGGGAAGACTGGTGCGTCCAATGGGAAATGGACCGAGGAGGAAGACCACCTAAACGAATGAGGGTGGGAGTGGAGATCAAAGGTCATGGCGGCAAGGTGTATGCCGGCGTCGTGGCTGAAGCAAGGGTTCCGGCAGAAGAACGCCTCTCATACATTGTGGAGCCGATGGAAGTCGCAGACCCTGTGGAGGAGGCACCGGAAGATGCCCCTCAGGACGGACCAGCGGAGCAAACCGGTCACAAAGCACCGGAAGAGGCGGCTTCATGCAGGAGGGGGCTGACCAGGAAGTCGCCTTGGCTTCCCAAAAGGCGGAGCTGGATGATGAGGGGGAAGATGTCCCGCTTCCCACCGGTGCAGCAAGCATCGCCACCGCCAACCCGCAGTACTACCAGCTGTGGCGGAAGGGCTGGCTCACCGACGACATGATCACATGGAGGTGGGGAAGCGCCACGTTGCTGAGCTTCCAGCAACAGAGGGAAGCTGAACACGGCCAGGGCAGTCCAGCCGATGAAGATGAGGTCATGCTGCAGGCGGTGCTGGCGGCAGAAGAGTTCGCGGGGGACAGCCAGAGAGTGGACGCAGGCAGCACGAGCACGGAAGAATACCAAGCTGGACAAGCCGTTGTGGAGGCCGAGGAGAGCGGTGCAACGGGCCTGCAAGAAGGGTCGACGACCTCGCAGCTCCCAGGGCAAAGGCTACCGTTGTTGCTGCTGCCGGGGGCTGAAGATCTGGCTCAAATTCCAGATGCAGGGGCTGAGGGTGAAGGGGCCGCAGGGTTGACGCAGCCAGAAGCATCGGATACCAGCTTGAATGCGACCGAGTTGGCCCAGCAGCAACGTGTTGCACATGATTGAGGGTTTGAAGGGGATCCTGCTGTACGTCATGTGCTGGGGGTCTGCAATGAGCGGGTAGATGGTAGGGGTTCCCCCGCCTGACCTGGAGTCTTTCGTCTGTCATGCAGGCGGAAAAAGGCGTGCAAAAAAAAAAACCTAAATCCTAAACCCTAAACTCTAAACCCTAAACCCTAAACCCTAGACCTTAAACCCTGAATTAAAACCCCCAAACCTTTACCCCGAAACTTTGTGGAGGACGGCCGCTGCGGCGGAGGTCTTGGCGTGAACCTGTGGGAAGCAGGCGCTACAAAACTTCAGGAACCCTTTGTAGGGCAACCATAATGGAGAATCAGCTGAGGATTACTTAAGACCTCCTTACTTAAGGTAGGCTTCCTTACAGAACTTGCTGTTTGGTGCTTAGAGGTTTGGGTTTTGAGAACAGCAGGTTTAGGGGTCTTAAGTTTGAGGATAGTGTGTCGAAGAGGTTCCGGGGTAAGAGTTCACAAGTTCAGCATTGTAAGGTTTTGGGGTTTGGGTGTGGTTAGTTGAGAACGATGGTTGTTATGGTGTTCTTAAAGTAGTATAACAAAGCCAAGGTCATGATTCCCTTCAAGGGCCGGTGATTTTGGAAACTACCGGCTGAAACGCATGGCCCCCTTCTCATGAAATCTACGGCCTTGAAGTATAGGCCCCTGACATGGGTCTTTGGCAATTGGGGGTCCTCTAAAAAACCCTATGGGTACACATGGGGAAGTATAGGAAAATAGGGGCCGCGACCGGGGGGCCCATACATGTTTTCAACATTTGACAATGCACGTATCTGGTATGATGATGCCCAAGCCCTAAACCCATAAACCCATTTTTTCTCAAGTTAAATTACTGCCCGCGCGCATGTTGCAAGCTACATTGTTTTAGATTCCTAGGGTTGAGGGTTTAGGGTTCAGGGTTTAGGGTTTAGGGGCTAGGGTTGAGGGTTTAGGGTTTGTATGTAATCTGAAGTCGCACAAGCTTTAGAACCCATGAACCCTAAACCATTGTCAACGCCAAGCTTAAAGTTTACGGTTGGTTTCAAGTTTGTGTCTGCAAAAAGACCCTCTGACACATCCACACGAACACGCCGTGCCTGGAAAAACGGTCCAGATAAGGTCGATTTACGAGCTGCTCTGGGTGGATTTCCCCAAGACAGCCAATCTAGACCCCAGAATACTGTAGGCCTTATTATGGGGACCCTAAACCCTAACCCCTCTATGGGGACCCTCAAAAAATACCTTCAATTTTGGGAAATCCCCATGTTCGGTTTCGCAAAAGCGGGGCTCCCAAGGTTTTTAGGATTTAGGGTTTAGAGTTTGTATGGTTTAGGGTCTGTAGGCTTCTGGGTTCAGGGTTTTAGGGTTTTAGGGTTAAGGGTTTCAGGGTTTAGGGTTTAGGGTAGGGCTTAGGGTTTTTAGGAGGTTCCTTAGGAACTTCTAGGGGTTCTTTTTTAGGGATTCCTTTTAAGAATTGCTGTCCTTTTGAATGGGGTCTCTATGGGCTTCCATGTTAGTTTGGGGAAGGTTAGTTACTTGTGTTGACATTCGGCGAAAGGCCTCAGAATGAAGCGCCTCTTGTGGATACAACGCCCGCAACTTCAAACTGAACACTGAAACCATTTATTTACCCTGAACTCAATAACCTTGTAGCCCGAAACCCTGAACCCTCAAACCCAAACCCCTAACGGAAAACCCCAAACCCTAAAACCCTAAACTCTGGAACCTTAAACCCCTTTTCGGACGGCCTGGATGCTGGGCAAATCTCGCATGCACCCAATATAACTAACATAACCTAATCCCCTCCACCATTCGTAAACCCCCTTCAAGGGGGAGGCAGGGGACTGGCCTCCCTAAACCCTAAACCCTGAACCGTAAACCTTAAGCCCTAAACCGGACCCTACGCTAAATCTGAGAACAAAAGCCGTCAGCCTCCAAGCCCCGTAGCTTCATAATTTCAAAGCAGGGTCCTTCAGGGACCCTGTTCCGTGATGTGGGCTGCTGAGGGGCACGGCGCCGCCTTAAGTATCCACTCCTTCTATTACTAACCACCCGGCCAAATGGCTTCCCCCCTCCCCCTCTTCCCCCCAACACCCTAACTCTTAAACTCTAAGCCCTCAACCTGCAGATAAGCAACCCAGTGCTTGGAAACTACCAAGCCGCTGTTGCAGGAAATCGAGAAAGAGAGTGGGCGAGGACCGCTGTCTTGGTCCGGAAGGGTTTAGGACTTCTGTTTGTGGCTACATGTTCTGGCCTTGTCAGCTCTCCAAGCTCTGGAACTTCAACTGTCAAGCGTGCCCGTAACCCCTGATGAGCTCCAAAACAATCTGCCGCAGCCTCAACCCTCTTATATCATACCGATGTAGCCCCATATAGCCCTATAAGGTCCCTAGAAACTCCCTATATAACCCCTGTATCACCTCTATAAGCCCTCAACCCGAAGCTTCGTTGGCCCCAAGCTGCCTCTCAGACATCCATGGTCCCACCGCAAACAGTATTGAGATCAGGGTTTAGGGTTTAGTATTTAGATCAACCAAGAAGAAGGTAGTAGGGTTGCACAATAGTTGCAGGCTTGCACCCGAAGACCAAACCAGCGTGTACCCAAGCTCTACCAAACTGCAAAGCCGTCCTATATGACATATACATCATTCCCACGCAACTACGCCTGTAAGTGCAATAACCTTCTGAACTGCGAAGCTTCAACTCGAGAACCCGAAAACGAAAACCCTAAAAGCCGTTATTGTTCTTGCGACTGCTGTTATTGCCATGATTTGGGGTTGCTTTGAAGTAGTCAGCACGGAAGTGTATCAGTATAAGAATGTAGTGTGCTGTATGATGGAAGGAGCTTACTTCTGATGGTTCGCCCAAGGGGTTTCAAAGAGGCACCCTTCGCTCAAACAGCAGCAGAAGCTGCCTTGTAAAATGCAAAAAAGATGCATGCACTTTACTAGGAGTTACAATAGTACCCTTCCAAAGGTACCCCAGGGTTTAAGGGCTTAACACGGCCGAATAGGGTTCTCAATCCGGGGGGAGGGTACCTTTGGGGGGTACTACTGTAACCCCTAGCTTTACCATCCCTTTCAGGTCTTCTCTGGAGTGGGACTGCATGATCGGACTTACTTTCAGGTTCTAGGTTCTAGGGTTTCAGAATATCGAGGAGGGGGTTGCCCCCGCTTTTTGACCTGCTTATAACGTGTTATTGTATGCTGAGGCTGGAGAAACGGCTTGGCAATTTCCGTTTGGGTAGTTCAGCAAGGTTACGTCCCTATATGCTCCAAAGGGATCCCCCTAAACCCAGCCCTAAACTCCCAACCCAGAAGCCTTCGTGTTTAGGGGTTTAGGGTTTGGGCAAACCGCAGACTCGAAACCCCTAAACCATAGGCCCTAAACCCCTAAACCCTCAACCCCTAAACCCCTCAACCCCTAAACCCTTCAACCTTCACCCCCAAACCTTCGATCCCGGCACCAAAAAACCTGCGGAGGATTGTCGACCCAATCGCCAAAATCGACCTTGGGAGGGTCAGGGTTGAACCTGGGCTGCACCTATTTAAGGGTTTAGGGTTTAGGGTTTAGGGTTTAGGGTTTAGGGTGGCAAGGGTTGAGGGTTTAGGGTGGCAAGGGTTAAGGTTTAAGGGTTTAGGGTCTAAACTCTTGGTTTCCCCCTTAAAAACCCCTATAGTAATCCCCTGTATAGTCCCCCATATGACCCCCTTTAAGGAGTTTAGACAAAAGTACATATAGGGTTTCAGGTTTCGGTTTTAAGGTTTTAGGCTTTTTGGGGACCCTGAAGAGTGAACATAGGTAGGTTTCCGTCGTAGTTTAGTATAGACCCCAATATATTCCCTAATAAGGAACTAATGTCCAGTGATCATGGGGGAAAATTGACTGTAGCTCATGCAAGGGCTTCCAGGAAATTCGGTACCATTTTGGGGTCCCATGATCATAGAAAGATTGGGGTTAATATTGAGGCCCCCTGTTTTTGGAAGAATGCAATCTGTAACTGTTAGGGGCTTAGCTTAACTTCAGAGCATCGAGCATTCGGGAGACACGATCATTGTAGTCTGTAATGTTACCGTGGATACTAAAAATCCGGCATGACCCTAATCACCCTATGCCTCGGGAACTATGGTAGGATAAGATACTAAGGTCTTGCAGGATTTTTAGAATTAAGAATACCGTGGTGCGGTCTCCACTAAAATCTCTTTCATCTGGTCCTTATCATGACTTTTCCTTGTAGTTTAGCCTACTCCCTAGTATATTCCTTAACACGAAACAATTTCCATTTAATCATGTAGGAAAAGTTCCTAAATCCCAAACCCTAAACTCGAAACCTACATTATGTGGGAAATATTCGCCATGGCTCATATGCAGCTGCTTCTGCTTCTCAATGCAACCATCCAGGAGGATGGAGAATTTAGGGCTGAGGGTCGGCAGCGTGCATCTGGAATTCAGGCTTCAGCCAGAGAGGCCAATACACCATCATGGAGGAGTATACTCATGTAAATGATATCAGGATCCCTAGGCCCTAAACCCTACACGCTAAGCCTAAGCACATTCCTCAACTAAGGGGTATAGGGTTCCCTGGGTAGGTTTACAGTTTGGAGGTTTGAAGACGGGCTTGGGGTATAGGGTTGAGGGTCAGCAGGAATAAGATACAATTGTTGCATGCAAATTCCTTGCATGAATGTCAGACCTCCAAGCTCTGGGACCTAGAGTTAAGGATGTGGGGTCTAAACTTAAGGACCTAAAATGAAGGGTTTTGGATAACAAAAATAAGGACATTAAGGATCCTGCGCCCCAAACCCTAAACCCTGACCCCGAAGACCTCAATGTCGAAGCCCTTTCACCAAAGTCAGACTGTTTTGAGAAAGGCACTACATTATCCCCTTAGCTAACTCCATTATGCCACCCATTAGCCATTCATAAGCCCTAAATCCTTAGTAACAAAGGGTCATAGAGCAAATTCCATGCACTGATGTACGGATGACATTGTCG